TACTTGTGTATATTTCTGATACTGTTTCCATAGGTACTAAACTTTTCTTATGTTTCTTTGAAATCTTCTGGATTGCTGAGTCTGATCCTTGGCCTGTCTACCTTTTCACATCCGTCTGGATGGGTGAAAGCAGCAGGTTGGGAGAAGCATAGCCATGTGGGTCTGTCTGAGGGTTAGGCGTCATAGGAAGAGCCCCTTTCTTGAACTGTTAATAATTAGGTCATCCTTCAACATGAATGAAATGGGTTTTGGTAAGTCTTGACTCTTAATTGTCTAATTTAATGAAGGGGAGATTATTTTAGAATAATTTAATCTGTGATAAAGGATAAAGCATAGCTTTTGCTTTGTGTTAATCTGGGGAATGAACTGAAGAGATGGAAAAGGGGTTCAGTCTCACACTTTATGAATGAGGGACATGTTGGAGATTAATTTGTTGATTTCTTTCTGCTTTCATTCTCCTTTGTATACCCTATTTTGCTTAGAATACAATATTATTCTGGCCTGTCACTGTGTTTGAATATTTAAAGATGGTGATGAATCCAGGCTCTGGAGCCATCTTCCTTGGCTTCAATTCCGTCTCCATTGTTCATTAGCTGTATGACTCTAGGCAACTCCCAGAACCTCTGTCTTGGTTTACTCATCTATTAAACTGGAAACTGTTTAGTGTTGTTGTCAGGATTAAGTGAGCTATAGCTAGCACCCAATAAATGTACCCAATATGTTCAATAAATGTAAGCTATTATTAATCCACTGAACTGGTCGATAGTCTGCTTCACATTTGTCTATGACGTTTATCAGTTTACATAAAGGGTACATTTCAACAGGATAACATTAAAAAAAGGACTAAATGTTAACTGCTTGAATTTTTTGAATAGTTAAATATACAAATATCTTTGCATATTATCGCAATGACCACAAACATGAATTGTCATCATCACTGCTTAAATGATGGTTTACTCTAAGAGGAAAGACTACCATTTATAGATACTTTCATAATTCATATTTATTGACTAAAGGAGTTCTCTGTGCAGGTATCTGGTTTTTAGGTTTTATTAAAGTTACTGTATTAAAAATTGGATTAATTAAAATTTCCTATAAAGAACTTAACCTTTAACTGATGTTACATTAATAAGCTTTTTCTTGTTCCCATTGCAGTGGCAAAACATGCATTCAGTTTTGACGTATATGGGACCAGGGGGAATGGCCACGCCTCAATCCCTTCTCCTCCGTTCTTCTCTCAGGATCTTCTGCATGCACGCACACGCGCCCGGCCACCGGGTCTGGGATGTGAACCACGGTTGACTACATGGGAGTCCAGCGATATAGCCATTACGCTTACCTGCTGGTCCCGAAATCATCTTCGTTTTAAAGGCTCTGCCAGAGCGTTGGGATCTGACCTTGTGTGAGCTCATCAAGCTGAGCTAACTGGAACAGTCATTCTCCCCTTCACACATACACTAATATTGGGTGGATGAATTGTGCTAGTGACCTTCATGGAGTTACATAACCACTTATTGACTCCTCGCTGTTAGTGGTTGTTATTCTGTGGGATCTCTCTCCTGGGAGCAGGGATGGCCTGTGCAGGCCAGGGAATTCCATTGGAAGATAGATGACAGCATCCTCTGCCTGGTCTGTGCTGGGATTCTAAGATATCTTTTAGTTCTTCTAATTTACTTTTATTTTAAAATGTCTATAATTTTTTTCTTCAATTTTGTTACTTCAGACATGTTTATATTTCCAGGTAACTTGGATTTGGGAGGTGGGTAGTTGAGAGTTACTAAAATCTAATGTTAATGCATTGTGGTCAGAGTATACTGCCTATATGATAGCTTCTTTTTGTCATTTGTGATTTTTTTTTTAATGGCTTAGTACCTGATCCTTTTTATACATATTTACGTAAATAGATTACTTGTGTATATTTCTGATACTGTTTCCATAGGTACTAAACTTTTCTTATGTTTCTTTGAAATCTTCTGGATTGCTGAGTCTGATCCTTGGCCTGTCTACCTTTTCACATCCGTCTGGATGGGTGAAAGCAGCAGGTTGGGAGAAGCATAGCCATGTGGGTCTGTCTGAGGGTTAGGCGTCATAGGAAGAGCCCCTTTCTTGAACTGTTAATAATTAGGTCATCCTTCAACATGAATGAAATGGGTTTTGGTAAGTCTTGACTCTTAATTGTCTAATTTAATGAAGGGGAGATTATTTTAGAATAATTTAATCTGTGATAAAGGATAAAGCATAGCTTTTGCTTTGTGTTAATCTGGGGAATGAACTGAAGAGATGGAAAAGGGGTTCAGTCTCACACTTTATGAATGAGGGACATGTTGGAGATTAATTTGTTGATTTCTTTCTGCTTTCATTCTCCTTTGTATACCCTATTTTGCTTAGAATACAATATTATTCTGGCCTGTCACTGTGTTTGAATATTTAAAGATGGTGATGAATCCAGGCTCTGGAGCCATCTTCCTTGGCTTCAATTCCGTCTCCATTGTTCATTAGCTGTATGACTCTAGGCAACTCCCAGAACCTCTGTCTTGGTTTACTCATCTATTAAACTGGAAACTGTTTAGTGTTGTTGTCAGGATTAAGTGAGCTATAGCTAGCACCCAATAAATGTACCCAATATGTTCAATAAATGTAAGCTATTATTAATCCACTGAACTGGTCGATAGTCTGCTTCACATTTGTCTATGACGTTTATCAGTTTACATAAAGGGTACATTTCAACAGGATAACATTAAAAAAAGGACTAAATGTTAACTGCTTGAATTTTTTGAATAGTTAAATATACAAATATCTTTGCATATTATCGCAATGACCACAAACATGAATTGTCATCATCACTGCTTAAATGATGGTTTACTCTAAGAGGAAAGACTACCATTTATAGATACTTTCATAATTCATATTTATTGACTAAAGGAGTTCTCTGTGCAGGTATCTGGTTTTTAGGTTTTATTAAAGTTACTGTATTAAAAATTGGATTAATTAAAATTTCCTATAAAGAACTTAACCTTTAACTGATGTTACATTAATAAGCTTTTTCTTGTTCCCATTGCAGTGGCAAAACATGCATTCAGTTTTGACGTATATGGGACCTGAGTTAGAACTCAGAAGGGTTTTATTAGTTAGTCATGATGAGCCTGTGCATGTAGTTGGCCATTGGATAAAGATATATAGCCATGTTCACAAGCAATTACTTAGTTTTTATTTATTTAAACACTTGATGTAAGCAGCATTTAAAGGAAAAACTTAGTCTGACTAAACTTTGTTTTTATAGTCTGAGGCTGTTTAAAAGCAGATTAAATCTGGGGGCATATGATAAGACATATACCTCATGCCTTAACTTAAACCCCATAGTATTTGATTGTAACATTCAGTAAGCCTTTGAGGGCCTTTAGAGTGGTGAGTCTTGAGAGGGGAAACGTTGGTTAATAATTTTTAAATTCTCAATTTGTTTATGCTACGAGTAGCAATGATACTATATAGCTTCAGAAATACTGACTTCTTCTTGTTTCAATATCTAGTATAGAAAACCTGTGTTTTCAAGGTTTCCTGTTTACTCTCATCTAGGCTTACCCTGACAGTATTTTGTGGGGGAAGGGATTACCAATGAGGCCTTGGGTAGTTGGGTTGGCACTTGGGTCATGGTACATAGGTGGGGAAAGTAGATTATGGAGAAGAGTCATGCAGATCCTGTGAGTAGGAAGCTGGCTTTCACTCCCCTCCACTGGGGTTGCGGATGGCTGTGGGCTATATGTTGTATGCCATTCTTCCCCAAGGAACAGGTGGCCCATGCCATCAAGCTGCTGCAAAGCATTTTCTGGAAGGCTAGCCACTGAGGATGGTTGCAAGTGACTGGTCAAACATGTTAAAAGTTCATCTTGATTAGTATAAAGGGTGTGTGGGGGTGTGATTAGAGACCAGGCAATGGACTCAGCTTTATTCATTGTGGGACTACAATGATAGTCTCTAATTTAAAAATAAAATGGAGAATAATAATGCCACCTGCTTACCTCTAAGAATGTTTTTAAGGATTAATGGGTCAGTCACCTTAGATGAAGGCAGCAGAACCTACCCAGGCCATAATTTTCATTGGTAAGCTCCAGTTTGGGGGGAATAAAACATTGGAAAGAAGATAGGAATGGAGGGGCTGTCTCCTATAGTTAGTATAGTTCAGGTCCAACTGTAGTTCAGGTTCTTTCTAGCTGGGAAATTTATACTAACATAAATGTCTTTTTTTTTTTTTTTCCAAGAGATGACAGCAAGCCAAATGTCTGACCTGCCGTTTGTGGGAAAAGAACAGATGTCTGTTCTGAGAACTTGTTAATAAAGATGTTAGTGGTTTTCTCCTGCTGTAAGGATAAAAAGATGGGTCAAGAGAGTGTAGATTTAAGTGGAATTTGCCCTTTTTTCCCATTATTGGTGTGCTCCTTCTGAGAGTTGGTGTTGTTTCATTTTATAGATTTTTTGCAAGTTTCTTATACAAGGAAACTTCATAGAGATCAAGCCAAAACAAAACAAAAATATAAACACATAAAATTGCTTTAAATACCAAGAATGTCAGCATGAAATTAAAATGAATCAACTGACATTTCTGCTTTGAAATTTTTTAGTTAAACTAATTTAAACCATTTACCTTATAAGGGAAAGTTTGACCTTTTTCAGTGTTTTGGATTTAAGGGTATTGACATTGGGTTGTTTCTGGTTAAAATTTGCTTCCACCCTATAATGGCTCTTGGGATTTTGGTCAACCTTTGGTTGTGGAGTAGTAAATACAGTCAATTGTGTTGGTACAACATGGTTTTCAGATGTTAAGGTCTCTGAAGTAGCAGCTATGGTATCCCTTCCCACCCCTGTATAACTGTTAAAAAGAACACTGTTGTCATGTGAATTCTTATTTATTTTTTTTTAGCTTGCTTTTGAAGTAACTTTCACAGAGAATTCCTGTTACCTAGAAATTGATGACAGACTTACACAATTTCCTTTTTTTTTCTTAGACGTTCCATCCTCAGAGCAGCCTGAACTGTTCCTAAAGAAACTTCAGCAGTGCTGTGTCATTTTTGACTTCATGGACACGCTATCTGATCTTAAAATGAAAGAATACAAGCGCTCCACTCTTAATGAACTGGTGGACTACATTACAATAAGCAGAGGCTGTTTGACAGAGCAGACTTACCCTGAAGTAGTTAGAATGGTGAGTTTCTTTTTTTTCGCCGCGGACACTTTTAAGCATCTTCCATAGCGACTCACAAGTGTATTTATTGCAGTGAGGTCACTGGAGGTCACCTCCACAAATGAGAGCCAACTTCTGAGAGCTAAGTAGTCGTCACGATGCTAGAATTTGAACAGCATGGTTTCATGACAATGAAATCCAGAACTTTTTCAACTACAGCTGTATTGAAGGAATCAGTGACTTCAAAATATGAAGCCAAGATTGCCAGGGTATTATTGGATTTTGGCTTTGGAAAAAGGAAAGACACAGGAGAATCAACAAAAGTTTTAGATCTGTGTTTGAAAAGTATTCAAGCCTGTTGGATGTCTTGTTTTTTTTTTTTTTTTCCTTCTATTCACTGTGGTATGTTAGAAATGGCTTTACACTTAATAACATTGTGATTTATAAAATCTAGTTAAGGCCTCTCTTGGCTTTATAAGTAATCCTTCTCTTTATAATCCCCTTGAAATCATGGGCAGTGCCTTTCATGTGTTTTTGAACAGCATCTTACACTTTGTACGATCATTAGGAGTTATGAGAGAAACACTATTAGCATAATACGAGTAATTATGCTCTTACTGTGTTAACGATTATATTAATTTTTTACAAGCTGAGCTAAAATGTGATTTTCTGTTAGATTCCTGTGATGTCTTCATTGGTATCCGACGAGATCTTGAATGTAGAGACTATATGCTCTTTGGGGTTGGGTGGGAGAGGGAGAACTGGTCTAACTGACTACTGGCTACTGACACATGATCCAAAAAGGTCTTTTTATCATTGGGAATCTTAATGGGGGATCTGGTATTTTTTTTGTGTGTACTAATGAAAACCTGTCTACGTTTTCTGTTTAGCTCTTAACACTTGTATTCAACAAATGCAGAAAAAAGATATTTGTAATAGAGTAAATATGGTTAAAAAGTGATAGTTCAGAGTTGAGAAAGAACTTGAATTTGTCTCAGCTTAAGAAACTATGACTGATATATGAGGTCATTTCAAAACAATGCCCTGCATATTTCTGAGCTCCATATTTGAATGCATATTGAATTTATTGTTAATTTATAGGATTGTACTGCTAGAATGTTTTCATTGTAGGTTAACTAAGATCATTGTGGCTCTTGAGCAGTGCTTCTCAATCAGGAGCCAGGAACTGTTTTGCCTCATATGGGACATTTGACAAAGTTTCTATAGAGACCTTTTTGGTAGTCACAACCAGGTGTGAGGGTGGAGGGTGCAACCAGCACATAATGAATGGGTAGAGGACTGGAATGTTGATGATCATCTTACAGTGCATAAGAGAACCCCACAACAAGCATTTATCTGGCTCCAAATGTTAGTAGTGCTACTGTTGAGAGACCCTGCTCTTGATTTTGCATGCTATCTAAATCTTTTAACCTGAGATTTAGGATTTCTCTAGTCCACTTGCCTTCTGCAGAGCACATAGTCCCTTGATTTTTAACTTACTTGTGGCCCCGGCCAACAGAGGTATCCACTATTTATAACTTTTTTTCTGTATCTTTTCATGCATAGTTCATGAATATAAAACTGTATCTAAGCATATATGTGTAATAATTTTTTTTATAAGCACACAAATGGTGGTATACTATATATATACTTTCTGTACTGTCCTTTTTTCACTTAGCAATATAATATTTGTATGTATCAGTACATATAAAGGTGCCTTATTCTCTTTATAGTTGTGTAAGTATTTCATTGTATGGATATACCATATTTAACCAGAACCATGACTATCCTTGTGTACATATCCATTTGCCCGTGTATAATAAGAACATTTGTATATTTGTCCCTTTATTTGTAAAGATTTTATTAGATTTTTACAGTAGGGTGAGTGTGCTCACCAGAGACACACACACACACAGAGAGAGAGAGAGAGAGAGAGAGAACTCTCAAAAGTGAGAAATCACCCCCCTGGTGGGGGAGAATTGCCACATCACAGTCCCTTCTCCTCCATTCTCCTCTCGGGATTTCGAGCATGCATGCACACTCCCCTGGTGCGAATGTCCAGCCTCAGGATCAGTACTTAAACCTCAGTTGGCCATGTGAGAGTCTAGTGCCTTAATCACTATGCCACCTGCTGGCCCCAAGATTTTATTTTTTAGAGTAGTTTTAGGTTCGTAGCAAAAGAGAGAAAGAGATTTCCCAGATGTCTGTATTCAGACATGCATAGCCTCCCTAATAAACATCCCCCACCAGAGTGGTACATTTATCGCAACTGATGAACCTGCATTAATGTATCGTAATCACCTAGCGTGCATAGTGTAAATTAGGCTTCACTTTTGGTGATGTACATTGTGCGGGGTTAGACAAATGTACAATGACATGGATCCACCATCATCATATCATATAGAATATTCACACTGCCCTAAAAATCCTCTGTGCTCTATCTCTTTATTGCCCTTTACTCCTGACTCCCTGGCACACCCTGATCTTTTTACTGTCCCATAGTTTTGATTTTCCCAGAATGTCATATAGTTGGAATGATATAGTGTGAACCATTGCCAGATTGACTTCTTTTGCTTAGTAATGCACATTTAAGGTTCCTTCATATATTTTACAGCTTGATAAATCACTTCTTTTTGGTGCTGAATAATTTTCTATTGCCTGGATGCACCACAGTATATCCATTCATCTACTGAAGGACATCTTGGTGATTGCATCTAAATTTTGGTAGTTATGAATAAAGCTGCTGCAAATTTTGTGTTAGTTTTTGTGTGGACTTAAGCTTTCAACTCCTTTGCATAAATACCAAGGAGTGCAATTGCTGGATCGTATGCTAAGACTATGTTTAGTTTTCTAAGAAACTGCCAAACTTTTCATCCAAAGAATCTGTACCATTTTGCATTTCCACCAACAATGAACAGTTCTGCTGTTTCACATCCTCACCAAAATTTGGTGTTGGTTTGTTTTTAAATAGCCCTTCTTTTTTCCTTGTTTCTGGACCTACATGTCTTCCCCCCCCCACCTCTTCTTCTATTTCTTATTTTCCTTTAAAGACTGGCTTTCAAGTGCTACCATTGTTTCCTGAAAAAAGCCTATTCTCTCTTTTATCAGCTCCTCTGCTTCTTGACAATCCACTCTTTTGGAAATTTGTTTGTTGCCTTTTTTCCTTTTACACATTTAATCTGATTTTTCTAATTAGTCTGTACTTCTAGGGAGGAATGGAGCCCTGCATATTTCTGTGGCCTCTGTAATGTCTTCTATACCAGATCTACTTGAAATTAGTTGAATGAGTGAATACATTTCTTCTTAAAATGTATGTAGGCATTTGAGGCTCTCAAATTCTGATTAACATATTGGATGTCATTGGATTATGTTCGTTTTTTAAACCTAATATTTAGCATAATTCCCCAAATTTTCTTAAAAACCAGCTTGGTCCCAAATTAGCTGTGTTCTTTGAAGGGGGACCCTCTCTCTTTCTCAGTTTCTCCCTCTTCCCCAGCCAAGGGAAAAAAAAAAAAAAAAAAACCCACAAAAACCAAAAAAAAGAAAAAAAAAAAAAACAAAAAAAAAAACAATCACC